TCAACATAATGTTGGTGAGCTCGTAGGTTTAAATAACAAAAGAGGATTTGTTGTGTATCGAGAGCGTTTAGGACAACATTGTATATACATATATCGCAATTCAGCACTAATACATAGAAATWATTGTATAACCAATTTAGTCATACAATAAGAACATGATAGGTTTCCAAACATGTCATCTACCWGCTGGAGCTAAACCGTTGGCTTAATAGGAATATAGGAATCACATCTCATATAGGAATCAAACACTAGTACTTTCATTGCAATAGTAAACACACAAATTGTCCAAATAAATAAAAGAAAAGGGTTCAACACAGCTTAAAAACAGTTAAATAGCTTTTGAGTATCATTTCCCCCCCCCCCAAAAGAAGTATATAAGAAAAAGGGGCCACGAAACTCACCTGTGTGTGGATGGTATTAGGTATGCGAGAGGTCAAGCAAGTAATCTACAATTAAACAAGGGTGTGTGTGAGCTAYACATGGCCATGGCTTAAAACCTTACCATTGTAATCTCGTAATCRATGGAATATACATGATCGGACTGGTATTTCTAAAGGACAATTTTACCAAGCGTCGTAAAACTATAAGTCAATTAGTTGTGGGTAGTCATCTCGACCTAAGTATCGATGGTTTGCCCAAGTTTTATAAGTTTGGTTTCTTAACCGAAATTTTAGGTTACTTCAAGAATTTTTCCTATACCTTAAATGAATTTAGATAAGGTTCCAAAATTTAATGGTAGAGACTTCCGAGTATTAGGTATTTTCATAAATTTTTCTTAATTTTAATTAATGTTTTACTAATTTTAAAAAAATATATATGAAAGTACAAGTCAGTAAACCGTTCTGTTTTGCACAACAGAAAGTTATATACAAAATAAAATACTTAAAGACCTCCAAAAATTCTGAAATTTTTACAGAGACTAATAGACATATTGAACTCAATCCAGAAAAAGTTTTACCAAAAAATTCGAAAAAAAGAGGGAGTTGTGAGGCACCCAAAACGTCCTAAATTCTGACCAAAAATTCCAGCTTTGCGACCCTGAACGGTAAAGGCTTTTTGAGCAAGTTAATTTTGTTGTTTTGACACGAAACTACTTGGAACAGAAAGTAGACTCATCGAAATTGAACCTAGACC